GCCTAAGGTACCCTGTCAAGCCCCGCTGGGCAGGGGGTGCACCCTAAGGTCCCTTGACCCGGCATCAGGGTGGGGGAGGCGGGAGTGTCCTGAGGTCCCCCAGCCCAGGGCGAAGGGCACAGTCTGAGGTCCCTTGGGCCAGCACCAGGGGGGGTGAGGGGGGGCACCTTGAGCTCCCCCAGCAAGCCCACCAGGCAGGGGGAGTGGCCTCAGGTCCTCTGCCCCAGCCCGGTGCCAAGCAGCCTCAGGTCCCTGCTGATTTCTTGTTACGGGAACCCTGCCTCTGTTGTGGGTGCAGCCATCTTGTGACAGCATGAGAGTTACTTTGCATTTTAACCCTTTATTTTATAGGATTGTTTTCATTTGAAGTGGCTAGAAACATTTGGTAACATCAATATGTTCCATAGATTCCACTAGTGTACAGAAGACAAGGGACTGTGAAGGAAAACAGTATTTGGGGTCAAAACCAATACTTTATAACAAATGTCTTTTCAAATGCTACATTAAGTCTTTTGTTCTTCTTGCATAACAATAATAGAAAATATGAAATTCTATTAGGGTTGCATTAAAATTTTATGCAGATCCTCAAATGTCCACCAGGCCATTTGAAAATATTCAAATCCTTTTTAAATTCTTACTTTGGAATCCTTCCAGAGAAAATTAGCATTCTCTTTGTAATGTGACAAATCTACCACAAGAGGGCACTGTACTCCAAATTCACTGCAAAAGAGGCTAAAATTAGAAACATTCTGTCCTGGCTTACTGCAGATTCCAGATGTTGCAAAAGGAACGTCTGCACGTGTCTGTTGTACTTGGACAAAGATGAAACAGAAGCCTTATTAGCTCAATTCTTCCACCAAAAGCAAGAAAACAAATGTAATGGGAGCTATTGGTTTGTCGGAACATCAAGAAATTTCTCATTTGTCCACAAGGTGGCACCTCTTCCTTAATAATAGCTGTGCTGACAGAGTCAGCTGTAAATTTTTAAAAGTAACTTTGTCTTGACTGTCATTTTGAAAAATAATATTTCTGATAACTAAAAGCTTTATTAAGAAAATTTTAAAGGTTTTTTTTTCATCTAACTATGAAAATTTTTTTTATCTTTAGAGAATATATTTCTGTCAACAGTGCAATAGAGACAATCTTTACTATGTCTAAGGAATTTGCACCAGTGCCTGGGCAGAGGTTCATTAACGTAGGTAATTCTGAGTCTCACAAGTCTTTCATTTCCGGTGCTCGATTCAAACTCTCTCAACAAAACTGATGAAATTCTTATTTTAAATAATCAGTAACAATTTATCCAAGAAAACCATGAAAAAGATAAATTCTATTTTGAGGAATGTGGTTTCATTACTTAGTGTTGCAGCTAGGTTTTAAATTATGCTAAGTTTAGCTGGTTACTTTTCTCACTCATAAGATCTCATTTTGCCTTTTGACTTGTCCAGACCATATTAAAGTTTTCAAGCTCGAAGCATTTCCGGGCTAGATTGCAACAGCAGGAACCGTGGTTTCTTTTGGTCACATTAGGGTGACATATTCTCCCCTTCAGGAAGCGGAAAGAAGCAGCATGGGTGAGAATGGGATTTTATAAGAAATGGAGACTGGTATGATGTAACAATATTGATGAGCTTCTTTTTCGTTAATCCTCACTTGAGGGTATTTTTTCCACTGATATTTAGCAGGAGTGGAAGGAAGGGAGGGAAGGAAGGAGGGAGGGAGAGGAGAGAGAGAGAGAGAGAGAGAGAGAGAGAGAGAGAGAGAGAGAGAGAGAGACGCCTAGACATGCTTGGCTGGGAAAGTTGTTTTGCTCCAAAGCTTGCTCCTTGGGGAATGTTCCTCCACCACAACATAGGTTCAGTGATCAATGAGTCTGGGTAATGTTTTGCACTACCTAACTCCTCTTGGACTTTCAAATGCACTTGTATACCAGTATATTAAAGAATGAGAAGTTCTATGGTAAGCTTGCTATACTCTGTAACAGTTTTCCACGTCTCTTTATATTTTTCATGGAACACAGCTCTGGCCAAGGGAGTAAGGAATGCTGCCATGAGTCTATGCAATGGACCATTTTCTGCTCATAAATTGCCAGTTTGACTCTGCTGGATTTGGATACAACTGTTGATCAAGGTCTGGCAGGGCTAACATATAAGAAAGTTTCCTGGTCCAAATAGTCTATGGAGAAGTGATGGTCCATGATGAAGAATAAGCTTTTCCTTAGCTGAAAGATTGCAAGAATAGTATTTAAGAAACAAACGAACTCCTATATCCTTCATCCAGAGTCCTCGATTGTTATCATTTTACCATATTTGAATTATCATACTCTCTCTGTAGACAGACAATAGATATAGATTGAATTCTTTTCTAAACTCTTTGAGAATAACAAGTTGAAGACATCTAACAATATTCATCAAAATTCTCAAATGTTTATAATTATTAAATAAAAATTCTAAAAAAAACATACAGTTTTATTACATCTGTAATTCCACTATGGTAACTTATTGTGAGGAGCCATTTATAGGTATGAAACAGTCTTAATTATAAGAATGTTAATCATAGCAATGTCTATGACATTGAAAAACTGGAAATGGCCAGTATAGCCAATAATAAGCATTTGGTTGAGCAAATTGTATCAGGCAACTAGATACTGCTTGTAAACATCCTCCCATCTGCCACTCCTCATTGGCCGTTATAGCCATGAGGAGACAGTTCAAAACCCCGAATACCTCTGCCGCTGTTGACTGTACTACTCCGCCCACTCCCAGGACTCCTTTGATCCTGGTTTATACTCTTCAGAGAAACTGATCACTCAAGACACCCTCAACCTCACAGGGCCTTGAAGAATATTGGTTTCACCACATAAAGGTCTCTCCCACCCTACCTGCTTTAACATCACACTGTGAACCATTGTCCAAGGAGACCCCATTTCCCCTCAGGACACAGGCACTCCCAGCCCAGGACAGATAATGTGACTTGATCCGGGGCAGCAATGACAAACCTGGGCTGTTCAGGAAGGTCTTTCAATATAAGAGCAAACTACGTAGAATATAATCAGAATCCTACCAAGTCTTCAATAGATAACCTATCCTAATTTCAAATAACGTCAATTTCTCAAAATTATATATATATTCATAAATAATTTGTAGCAGAACAATGTCAGCTTTATTCTTAGTAACATCAACTGAAAAAAAAAATTAAGATTCCCGTTTCTCTAAAAATGCAAGCCTCCAAAAGCAGTGTATCTTTTTTGAGCCAGTATGTTTACCTTCCTCACCAAGAACAATGAAAACAGATAATATTACATCATTTCCAAAGGAAATCATTTTACTTTGACATCTCAGATTCAGATGTCCTGAAGGAAAAATAAACACAAAATTTCAGATAAGGAATGTCTGGGATTATCATATTTCTTATATAAATATTTGTATGGAAAAATAATAAAGTTTAATATAGCAGTTATGAAATAAAAAGAAGAAAAGCTAACTATAATGTATGCCTCATAAATATTACAGACACCTCATTATGTGGACAAAATTCTTAGAATCAGGAAAGAAACACACCAAAACATAGCATTTATTTAAAAGACAATATAGTTAGTATTGAAGACATTGTTTGATAGGGAGGAAGGGCTTAAACACAGGATAGAAGATGCAAAGTGCTGAATGGATTGGACTGGAAACAGTACAGAATCACTTCTCTCAAGGAGTGTACAAGATACCACACAAACATTTACTTTCATTTGGCTTATGCATATGATCCAAACTTAAGAAATGAGGAAAGGACACTTAACAAGATTTAGTGGAATTGTACAAAGACAACCAAAAAACTCACAAGATTTCATTTGGTAGCAATTGCATTATGGAAAGTTAGTCTGTTACTTAATATAAAAATAAATCTACAATAGCTAGTGTGACTCCAATGGAGCCAGTAGGCAACACGTGTGACCCCGACTGCTACGTGGACCTCACACCCTCCTCAAGTGGCTCACACTGTCTGGTCTTTGACCTGGAACCCCAAAAAGGGCCCCTGACAGCACAGGGTTACGGCCAACTACATTTTCCCCTCCAGACTACCATCAGTTAGGTACCATTTCTCTGTTTCCCATAGCCTCATTCTTTTCTTTCTTTTTAGTGCCAGAGCTCATGAAAACACTCACCTGGCCAGGGCTAAGCAGGATGCAGAAGTACTCTGAGATGGGTTAGGGCCGTGGTCGGCAAACTACGGCTCTCAAGCCACATGCGGCTCTTTGGCCCCTTGACTTGGCTCTTCCACAAAATACCACAGCCTGGGTGAAGAAGTGGTATTAGAAGAAGTGGCATTAGAAGAAGTTGTTTTAAAAATTTGGCTCTCAAAAGAAATTTCAATCGTTGTACTATTGATATTTGGCTCTGCAGACTAATGATTTTACCCACAACTGGGTTAGGGGTTATACCAATAGACTCAGATAAATGAAGAGATGAAAATGGGCATCATCAGAAAGCACAGAAGTACGGGACCCTTGGGAATTCACAGAAAAAGATAGAAATGAAAGGTGGGGGACTGTTGTTTATGCTTGGGAAGTCACACCCAAAGAGCAATGAAGAGGAAGAAAACTGGAGTAGGGAATACTTCCTTTGACATCTCTACGAGGAAAGCAGTTTTAAAAAGGAATATAGAAGCCAAACCAACATCTAAACATTAAATAAAATGTGTTTAAATAAAATGTAATGCAGAACGAAATAAAGAATCCTTTTACTTCCATTTGACTTGGTCCACATTTTGATAAAGGTTCTAAGTCAGGCCAGTTTTGCTTTATTGGTAATTGATACATTTTTATCAGCCATTTCTGAGGAACAGAAGCGAACCCATGCTATCTCTCAGGGAGACTGGGAGAGTGGGGAGGGAGGGAGTACATAAAAGGGGAGTCTCCGCGATCTTCACACTCCTCATGCCCAAAGTGTCTTTAACCTGCACACTCAACGAGTTTCCAATCACAGAAAACATCGTCACTGAGGACAACAGAGCTAGGACCAGGAGCGCAGGCTGCTCAGGATGCTGCCCAGGACTGTGACGCACACCAGGAGCTGGAGAGAGAGGCTTCTGTGCAGAGAAGAGGCAGGAGAGGGGCACATCAAGGGCTCTGCTTTGTACGGTCTTTCTATGTCTGGAGGCAAGGCCGTCATCCCTTGGATCTGAGAGTGAAAGAGCAGACAACACAGGGTGAGTGTGTGATCAAAGAGCAGACTGTGGGCACGCTTGCCCAGTCCCTGCACTTCTGCAGGAATCAAGGGGGCAGGAGTGGGGCACAGATGGCTGCTGAGGTTGTCAAACATGAGAACAGTCACAAGCTCAAGGATTACGAGGGAAGTGGGGAAGAAGGCCAGGAAGACCTCCGGGACAGGGGACAAACAAAACAGGCTCCACTGCATTTTGAAATTCTCATCTCATCCTATGCCTGCTTCACTACAACTTTAGTTTTAGAATAAATCTCCTCTTTCAAAGGAAAGCAATCAGGAGTGTTTGGTCAGCCCCAGGTAATCATTAAACAAATTACCGGATGGGTCCCTGGAATGATTGGGTATTCATCTGTTCTCTAGATTTCACCTGTTGTGGATTTAGGTAACATGTGACATCTGGTTACCCCGAAAGGTTAAAACCAAGCAGGGCTTACCGACCACTCGGCGTTGTCGGTCTTGGAGCATCTCACGTTGACCGGCAGGCCCAGGACAAGCTTGTTGAAGGACAGACCTTCCTTTTTAGTCCACTTAAACTTATTCATTGCGTCCATGAAGGAAAGGTTTTTATATTGCTTGGGGCTTTTGATAATGAAAGGCCAGGTCCTGAATTAAAAATAAAAAAATAAAAACACAATTAGTAATATTCAGAATAGAGGCATTACATGTTTCCATTACTTTTCAGCAGACATCATACTTGTTCATTTTTACAAAACAATGATGACCTAATGCAACGCATTGATGAACTCATCAGCAGTTACTGGAGGAAATACATACCAAATAAGGAGGATGACATCTAAGAAAAAAAAATTCCTTATTTTATTGGCAGATGGATATTACTTTTAGGCAATTTTAGCTCTGAAAGCTTCCCCAGAATCTCACAATTCCTCATTTATTTGTTTTGGCTCTAGTTAACAATACAACTGCTAACCCAAAAATTCTAAATATTGAAATGCTAATAGTGAAATAAAGAAATTTGTTGGGCCCGGCCAGCATGGCTCAGTGATTGAATGTTGACCTATGAACTGGGAGGTCACTGTTTGATTCCCTGTCAGGGTACAGGCCGGACTTGCGGGCTCCATCCCCAGTGGGGGCTGTGCAGGAGAGAGCCTATCAGTGATTCTCTCTCATCACTGATGTTTCTATCTCTCTCCCTCTCCTTTCCTCTCTGAAATCAATAGAAATATATTTTTAAAAGAGAAATGTGTAGGACCTTAAAAAGTCCTGATACTGAGGTGGACAATTCAGTTTCATACAGTTGAGAAACTTGACCCCTAGTGGCCGCCCTATTCTGGCTTGCTGACATGGAAATAAATTCAAAAGATTTGAAATTGAAATGTTTTTACAATTTTACTGAGAAAAGAAATATTCTTCAGACTATGAGCTTTGCTTCTACTTGCTTCTCTAAAAAAAAAAACAAACCTGTTAAGTGTCCAAGGAAGAAAGAAAAAAAATCACAGAAGAATGACAAGACCTGCTTGAAAGTTACTCTTCTGTTAAATATATTATTGATTCCTGAAAGAAGGAAAAGTATAAGTGCTGAGAGATATAAAAATTTACATAGCCAAAACCGGTTTGGCTCAGTGGATGGAGCGTCGGCCTGCAGACTGGGGGATCTCAGGTTCAATTCCAGTCAGGGGCATGTACCTTGGTTGTGGGCACATCCCCAGTGGGGGGTGTGCAAGAGGCAGCTGAACGATGATTTTCTCTCATCGATGTTTCTAACACTCTATCCCTCTCTCTTCCTCTCTGTAAAAAAAAATCAATAAAAATATATTTTTAAAAAATTTACATAGATGAATCCATGGGCCTTCCAGTAGATTATCATGGTAACCATCAGGTACCTGGTTCCCCTGAGACCTCAAGATGTTCCAATAATTACCAAATAATTAATCTCCAGCTGAGGAATCTATATTTTCATAATTTATCTTAACAATTTCTTCTTTTAAAAACATAACCTATTCAGGCACATTGAATATTCTCTTATTAAGTAAATTAAACATCCTTTATTAATTTTTTGGATTTATAAAGATAAATTCTTAATGTCTAAATTAAAATTATTTCCTCCATACCCTAGTAAATTATACAATAAAAAACAACGCATACCATACTACGATGTTTCTATTATTCAGTCCTAACTTCCTTTCTATCTTTAATTAAAGTCAACATATCTTTGTTGAGTTTTAAATACACTATTTTGTAGAGACTCTACGGTTAAATGCTATAAAGGAAAAGCAGTCAGCATCACTCTACAGTAAGCATATCTATCAATGACCTAGAATCCATCACATTTTAATATTAACATGTTGTGAAGATTTGTAGAGATGCAATTCAGAATCAGTATAAAGTAAAAACTTGACTTGAAAGGTGCCTATTATGTTTATGTACAATGTCCTTTTAAATACAATAAATCTTCATATAGGTTTTAATAAATACATAATAATTTTTAAATCAAATACTGGAAATGCAATTTACTTTTCAGAAAAGTAAGGTATCTAGCTGGAAAAAAAGAAAATCACCTTCATAGCTAAGGAAATACTGGGGGGAAGGAGGGAATCATCAGCTGTGGCCACCTAACACACCACAAGGTGGCACTGGAATCTCTGCTAACGATCTGAGGTGGCCTACACCCTCTGAGTTTTCAGCAGACTTGCTGATGAGAGTGAATACTATATTACTGTATGTAGATAAAACCTTAAAAAGCTTTGCTGCTAGACTATATCAGTAAACTAGTATTATTTTACATGAGGTATAAACACATTTGTTAACTTACTATTAATAAGTGGAAATGGTTTTAAAGGAAAAGCCCCATGGTTCATATGTGAGAAACAGCATAGCCTGACTGAGTAACCTGGGCATGGAGTCACCCACCTCTCTGAGATGGCATTCCTGGCTCATGTTCACTGTCTCCTTTCTATTCCTACTAACTGTGTTCAGGCTCCTACTCTATGATAACATCACTCCATCACGTTCAGCCTATCCTACACCATACTTTCAGGTTACCTCTGAAGAAAAGAGGACAAAACAGAAAGAGGAGAAATCCTGGAAAAATGAACAATTATCTTGAGTACTTTTCCTTATAAGACTAAGCTTTAAACCAGAAATAGTTGACCTTGAAATAGCAAGTTCTTCTGCTATCACTGGAACTGGGAATTCGTTAGGAAGACTAGGAATGTTCTAGAAATTAAAACAATTACATTTCTATACATCTAGGCATATTGCAAATGTCTACCCAGATAAACATTTTTAAAAGGGTATTATTTATATATTACTGTAGTTGATAAAAATAAATATTGTGTGATAAGGAATATTTTTCTTTGTAAATTTAATCTAATTGATAAGTTGATTAAAAAAGATATACAAAAAAGAAATAAACTTAGACTATCCATAACAATTTGGAGGAAGAAAAAAAATGACAATGTTTAGGGATTTACACCTTCTTATTTAATGATACACTATTATAAAACTATAATACGAAATTGAATGTGGTGTTATATTAAGGCTAAACATGTACAACCATAATATAGAATTCAGAATCCAGAAATAGTCAGTTCATGGTCAAATGATTTTCAACAAACATTCCAGTGTAATTCAATGGGAAACGGGTAGGTTTTTTCATCAAATGGTTCTTAAAACAACTTGATATCCATAGGAAAAACAATAAACCTCAGCATTTAACTCAATCCACACACAGATATTTATTTAAAATATATCATCAACCAAAATGTAAAACCTAAAACTATAAACTTCTTAGGGAAAGAAAACACAGGAGAAAATCTTCATGTCTTTGGGTAGGCAAAGATTTCTTTCATGGGACAGCAAAAGCACAAAACAAACCATAAATGATTAAATTAACTTCAAAAATAGAGCTAAAAGAAGGAAAATCAAGCCACAGAATGGGGGATATTGCTTGTAAAAATATATCTGACAAAAGACTTATATCCATTCATTCCAAGGAATCTTGAAAAATATAAAAAATTCTTACAAGTCAATAATGAAATAAATAGCCCTACTAAACAATAGACAAAAGTTTGAAAAATTAAAGAGGATCATATACAACAGATCAATAATCATGTGAAAAGAGGCTCAACATTGTTAGTCATGAGGGAAATGGAAAATAAAACCACAATAAGATATCACACTACATACACATTAAAACAGATGAAATTTAAAATATTGTAAATATAAAACATTGAAAGAATGTTAAGCCATAGGAGTTCTTGTATATTACTGGTGAGAACGTAAAAAGGTCCACCATTTTAGAGAAAATTATGAAAGTCTTATTAAATAAGTGTGAACTTTCATACAATCCAGTGGTTCCACCACTAGGTGTTAACTCAGAAAATTGAAGACATATGTCCATGCAAAGATGAATACAATGATGTTCACAGCAGCTTTCTTCATAATAGCCACAAACAGGAAACAATACAAATGTCTTTTTTTTTTTAAATATATATTTTATTGATTTTTGTACAGAGAGGAAGGGAGAGAGATAGAGAGTTAGAAACATCAATGAGAGAGAGTCATTGATTAGCTGCCTCTTGCACACCCCCTACTGGGGATATGCCCGCAACCAAGGTGCATGCCCTTGACCGGAATCAAACCCGGGGCCCTTCAGTCCCCAAGCTGACGCTCTATCCATTGAGCCAAACCAGTCCCAGCACAAATGTCTTTTAACTGGTGAACTGATAAACAAACTTGGGTGTATCCACACAGGGGAATACTGCTCAGCAACAAAAAGGAATGGATTGCTGATACATGTACCAGCATAGATGAATCTCAGAAACCTCTAGGTCAAAACAACAACAAACAGACAAAAAACAGGCATAAAAGAGCACATATTCTATGATCACATTTTTATAAAATCTAGAAAAGGTCAAACTATCGATAGTATGGTGACATAAAGCATATTACAATTCCATGGGATTGTCTCCAAATAGGTTTAGGAGAACCAATGGGATTGATGGAAATCATTACATCTTATTTGTGATGGGGTTACAGAGGTTTACACCGCTGGAAAACTTCCTAACAAAAATGGGTGCTATTGCATGTAAGTTCTGCTCCAAGCAATTTGACTTTTAAAATAAAGAATAAAAAACAAATAAGAATATACCAACAAGCGAATGATGATACAACATAATGCCACAAACTTTACAATCTAACTGTGAAAGAATGCAGCCAGGAAATTCCACTGAACAAGGTTCAAGTCCTAACCCTCTTGTCACTCTCTAGGGAAGTGGGTGTTGGAAGTACACTGTGAGGCAGTCTCCCTACCGCGTTTTCCCGAAAATAAGACATCCTCCGAAAATAAGACCTACTTACAGGTTTCCTTCTGAGTGGAAGGAATATAAGGCATCCTCTCAAAAATAAGGCCCCCCCTAGGCTAAACATGAGAGATTTGGCCCACTGATTCTGAAAGAAATGGAGTCACAAGAAATTCACCAGGAAATTCAGGAATTGGATTGTTATGATGATGTTCCAGAAGATGATGACATGATTGTCATTGAATAAATGAGTAAATTCTTGGTACTGTAGGATTCACAGTTTGTCTGGTTTGTGTTGACAACTACTGTACCACCGTACCATATACAGGTAATAAATTTCCTTTATTTTCATTTAACAATAAATGTGTACCATATTCTTCTTCATAGAAAATTAAGACATCCCCTGAAAATAAGACATAGAGCATCTGTGGGAGCAAAAGTTAATATAAGACACTGTCTTATTTTCGGGGAAACAGGGTAGTAAGAAGTAAAGACTTTGGGGCTGCAGCCACTTTGACATGATGGAAGGCCTGGGACACTCCTCCAGGGGGAGGGATGCAGTCCTGACCAGTTAGAAAACTTCCTTGAAAGATTTTTAACAAAATCTGAGGGAGGGTGAACCATGCATTGTAATATAGAGTATACCCACAGCCCTTTACCATCAAAATATATAAAAGTAGGCACATAAAATACATCACCTGGTGTGGCAAGAAAGGAAGCTACTCAGATTTTCTTAGAAGAAAGTCAAGAATTCACCTACGTTGTGTCAAAGACAAGTTTTAGGAAAAACTGACTCCTCAGAAGTAAGAAGTGACATAACCATGCAAACACAGGGAAAAGGAAAGTATTTCACACTTCATGTAAAGAGACGGGGGGGGGGGGGGGGGGGGGGGAAACTGACACTAGAAGAAAATATAAACCAATTATGCTGGAGAGAAGTACCACATGTGTTTCATGTTATTAGCTCATTTAACAAGAACATGAATTGGATTAAACAAGAGCTCAAATAAAAGATGATGAAACAACAGAGATGAACACGAAGATAGCACAACAAAGGAAATCAATTTAGGACAAAACAACTTGAGTAGAAAATACATTTTTAAAAAGCAAGATGCAAAAGATCACTTCTAAAAATTATAAAATTCTTGAAAAAAAATCTAAAGTAGATTAGAAAAAAAATGTGTTAGCTACACTAAAACTTCCCTGAAATGCAAAAAAAAAGGGGGGGGGGAGGGTGAAGGTGGGGGTATGTACTGAAAGAACACTTTGTGTCTCAGGAAAATTTGATTCAGATGCTCAACACTGGAACATGTCCAAGTGAACTTACATGTTCTACAGGTAAAGGACGAATGCTCCCATTCATTCCAAGAGATCTTGTAAGGGGCGAGGAGAGGGAGAGAAGTGAACCCAAAATATCTCCACCCAAATGCTGTCTAAATATAAGTGCAGGAATTCAAAAAATGTAAAAGAACTCAGGGCACAAAGCACCTGGAAACCCTTCTTGATTAAACAACTTGAGAAGAAAATATGATGAATCAAATTAAAGAACTCATAAATGTAGATAGAAATGGTATAAAGGTTTTGAATTATCACTTAATCTATTTTTAAAATATAGTGCCTTAAATGTTGTTAGAATTGGCTTTTAAAGTTAAATGTGAAAATTAAAAATCTTGAAAATACAAAATTATAATATGAATAACAAATATTTGGAGTTGTAGAAAAGGGTGTTCGGAGACAATGTTAAAGTATGAGTTTCCTTATTTGTTATGATCTACAGTTAAAGCATGTACTTTGGGGGAGGGAGAGAGAAAGAAAAAGAAAAGAATAACAAACAAATATAAGAAAATAATCAATAACAATAACAACAAAACCCAAAATGTAAACATAAGGGGGGGGGGAATGCCAAAAGACCCAATCATGTAGTTTTTAAAAAGTGAGTGTGACATTTTAATGTTTTTTTACAATCTATTTTCTCAACATTTGTGAGCTCATTTATTAAATACTGCCTCTTGTGGTTAAAAACAGCAGCAACATTTATTTGAAGTTCAACAACTATTCAGTATTTTTTTCTTCTGAGACATTAAAATAAAATTAAATGTTAATGTTTTTGTTTAAAACACTGAAAAAGTTATAATCTTTATAATAATAATAATAATAAAAATGTACTCGTCTTTATATCAATACCTACATAGAAAGATTCTGCAATAACTTTCAATTAATGTTAGTATTTAGTGTGTGTGTTTTCTATCAGAAGTTGAGGTGATGGCTTTATCTTCTTTTTGAAACTTTTTCTGCATTATCTAAGCTCTTTATAATAAGCATTTGTGATTTTTACACATTATAAATATAAAGTGATTTTTCCTATAAAGAAAAAGAGAAACACCTCTCTTGATTCTTTTACAGAAACAGAACAAATAAGACAGGAACTTTCCACCACATAAACTTGCCTGGAACTGCATGGATGTGTAGTGTTGCAGAAAACAGAGAATTCATATAAACTCATTATCTATTCTGTTATCTAATCTTTGTAAGTTTTGGTTCTTCTTTAAGCCTTGCCAGATCTGTAGGAGGCAAAGAAAAACTGCATCCTCCAGAACAGACAAATACTGAGACAGGATATAGTTGTCTCTATTTTTCTAATAAGTCATCCTCTAATCTTAGGATTGCTATGGAATGTTTAAAGTGAAATAGGGCACCTAACTAATTATTATATTAAAAGCACAAAATAAGAGATTTGGGGTTACATGTTATATGATATTCCTTTTTAGTACTGTATCCTGAAACCAAATTAGCAATTTTCTTTTAAGCAAAACAGAAAAATCACCCAGACCATTCGTCTCTTTCTGATCTTTTAACCAGTACCTTATTAGTTTGGCCTTCAATAATATTTATATCACTGTGATGATGAAAAACACTTGAAAGTTTGATTTAAAGTCCAAACATGTATTTTATAACAGAGGCTTTTTTTCACTCAGATCTTTGAAGAATATTTAACTTGTAGTTAAATAATTTTAGGTGGGCAATTCTTCTCCATTATTTTTTTCTACATCTACCTTAATACATCCAAAACAATATTTTCAATTTTTTCTTCAAACAAGTTTCTCTACACCTATACCAATACACTATTCACACATCATCATGTTTCATTCACTCTTCTCTTTCTCTGACCAATTCCTTGTGATGCAATCAATCAATTCCAGTGAGTGCTACCTTCCAAAGGTAACCTGAAGGTAATCATTTCTCACTAACTCTATTGCCATACCTCTCACCTGAACAATCACAATAGCCCCCTGATTGTTATTATTCTTTACAATCTTTTCTCAACACAGTAGCCAAATTCACTTTTTAAAAACACACTGCAATGGCTTCTTTTTGCACTTAAGACCTTAAGTTCTTATGTTGCCTAGAAAGTCTTACATGATCTGGTCCCACTTGCTGTCAGACTGCCTCACTCTTTCCCTACCACATTTCATCTGCTCCAGCCAAACCCACCTTCTCATTGCTCTTTGAACATGCTAGTTCCATACCCACCATAAGGTCATTACACTGACAATTCTCTTTGCATAGAGTATACTTGGATATCGTTGCAAGGCTGGTTTCTCATCACTTAAGTTTCTGCTCACAGATCACTTCCAGCCATAGATTGAATGTGTGTGTCCACCCAAAATCTATATGTTGAAATCCTAACATTGAAGGTGATGTTATTAGGAGACCAGGCCTCTGGAGTCTCTGCCCTCATTTATGGGATTAGTGCCCCTGTAAAAGCAGCCTGAGAAAGCCCTCTTGCTCCTTCTGCCCCATGAGGTTACTATGAGAGGATGACTGTCCATGAGGCAGTGGGGTTTCACCAGACACTGATTCTGTCCCAGCTTTGATCTTGGACTTCCCAGCCTTCTAAACTGTGAGAAATCAATTTCTGGAGTTGATAAGCAACCCTATTCAGACCTAGACTGCTTGTTCAAATGGTGTAATTTATATTGAACACCATTTTCCTCCTGGGAGTCTGGAATTTAGGTAATTTGCTAAGGAGTCTAGCCCCAAATAAAAACTCTGAGTGCCGAGTCTCTAGTGAGCATACATGTTGTCATAATTTTTTTTGTTAATCTTCATCCAATGATATTTTTCCATTGATTTTTTTTAGAGAGAATGGAAGGGAGAGAGAAAGAGACAGAGAGAAACATCGATGTGAGAGAGACACATCGGTTGGTTGTCTTCTGTATGCACCCTGACCAGGGCCAGGGAACCTGCAACCAAATTACGTTCTCTTGACCAGAATAGAACCCGGGACCCGTCAGTCCACGGGCCGTGTTGTCATAATTTGATGCTGGTGGAATTAAGTACATTCTGTGTGACTCAACTGGGAGGAGTTTTTTGGGAACTTGCTCCTGTTTTCCTGTTGACTTTGCCCCATATGCCTTTTTCCGTTTGTTAACTTTCCTTTATACGATTTACTGTAATAATATTAGCCATGAGTATAACTATAAATATCTCTGAACCTGAGGGTAGTCTTGGGGATCCTGAATAAAGCATCCAGGAAGCTCACCTGGTCTTCCTAGTTGAAAATACTCAAATAGAACAACACGTAAGGGAATTCCATAACGTGGTGATAGATCCAGTATAGTATAATGTCATCCTGTTCTGACCTGTCATATTGCCCCAACCATGAACTTCATTTATTACTTACGTGACTGGCCTATAGATCTCCTTAACACCAATGAACTGAAGCTGCTCCATAATGTCTGGAATACTTGCACATCGAGCAAGATTAATTCTTGGGTAATAAAGAAGGTATGAGAGACACATTTCATTCCTGGTGCTTAGTCCTCCCTGCAAATGGAGATGTTTTTATTTAGAAAAGTATATTCAACTAATAGACACTTGCAGCACACAAATCACCAAGGTCATACAGTTCCTTCCAGTGTTAAAGTGTAAGAAATCTTAAAGCTAAAAAATAATCTAAGTGGCAATTTACTTATAAATTAATGTAGTGGCTAATATACAATGACTTTACAAATTGCAAAAAAAAAAATGTAATGTCTTACTTAGGAACAAGGCAGGATTGAGTAAAGGGAAAATCATCCTACAAAGGAGGCTGCAACTGATGCCTCAGTAAATATCATATTTAAATTATTCTTGAGCTGAGGTGGCTATTCAGAGTTTTACCAACTTTTAGGAAGAAAGCTGGGCCTTTGTGATTGCACATTAACCAGTCATTGCTGCTGGCCGCCCCACTGGAGGGAATGTAACTTTAAGTGAGGCATTCCCTGACACCGAGGGCAAGGCCCAATGAGGGATACAGTCATGAGTTCTTATCATCTGATAATTTCAGTGGCTGAGGTGTAGCTGTCTTGGCCCTGAAAAAGGAGTGTATCCAAGCAGAGCACCAAAATATACACTAAGATAATAATAATTATAGCCTTAGTAAAATATGTTATGAAGACAAAATTATATACGAGGCATATCTTCTGTATGCTAATCTTCAATTCTCCTCTTCCCCGTGCTAAACAAAGATGATCATCTTGATATTTTGTTTATTATTTTATTGATTTTCATCACACTTTACATTCAGTTCAGTAATGTATGCACCCTAAACAATATAATGTTTACTTTTGTATGTTCTTGAACTTTAGATACATGATATCATAACTACAAACAGTTTGGTGCAAATTTGCTCTTTTCAAGCATATTAGGTCCTTCAGAATGGCTTTAATTCATTAATTTTCATAACTATATACTATTCATATATTATATAAGCATATAATATATTTCTTTGTTTTCCTTTTGATAAATAACTAGGCTATTCCCTAGTTTTTGTTCCTGGGTTGTTGCATGTTACTATGAATATTTTATATATTCCTCTCCTAGAACACTTCCCACAAAAGTAACCTCAAGGTTAAGTCCACATAGGAATGGAACTGGTCAGAGCATATATCAATCTTCAACTTTACTAGAGAATGCCATGTTTTTCCTCAAAGTGGCTTTATAAATTTATATTCATCAGTATATGAGGGGTCCAGTTTCAGTATATTGGAATTACAATTTTAAATATTGCCAAACTGGTAAATATAAAATATCTCATTCTGATTTACATTTGCGTGACCTTGGTTTCAAATGAAATAGAGGATCCTTTTATATGTTTATTATCTGTTTAGTATTTTATTTTTTTTGTTCTTTTTCTATTGTATAATTGTTTTATGTTACAGATTAATGAAATTTCTTTCAAATGCTGGATAGTAATGCTGTTTTAATCTATGTATTGCAAATATTTTTTTTTCAGTTTAAAACTTATTTTTGCTTATTTAACCATGTTTTTTTTATAACTAAAAGCTTTGATGTAGTCAAATTAATCAATGTTTTAATTCATAGTTTGTGCTTTTTATGTTTTGTTAAAGAGTTCTTACCTACACCAAAGTCATAATGATATAGTTACATATTTTTCTCCTAAAGGTTTTTAAATTTTGCTCTTCATATTTAAATATCTTTAATCTATCCAGAGTTGATTTTCTTAATATTGTGTAAGACAAAGACATATTTTTATTTTTGTCATTTGGGTACCTAATTGTGTCAGTATTCTTTAATGAAACAGCCAACCTTTTTCACTTATCTGAATGCCATGTCTATCTTAAACCAAGTTTCCATATAAAGGATTTGTAGTTCTGTTTCCAGGACCCCTACTCTGTTCTACTCTTCTTTTTTTTTTTTTTTTTTTCTTCTTTTTTTTTTCATATTTTATTGATTTTTTTTACATATTTTATTGATTTTTTTTACCCCCCTCCCTCCCACCCTGTTGTACTCTTCTAACTCTGGACCCAAAACACATTACGAATCAGCATAGCTTTAAAATAAGCCTTCATTGCCTGGACCGGTTTGGCTCAGTGGATAGAGTGTAGGCCTGCAGACTGAAAGGTCCCGGGGTTCGATTCTGGTCAAGGGCATGTACCTTGGTTGCGGGCACATCCCCAGTAGGGGGTGTGCAAGAGGCAGTTGATTGATGATTCTCTCTCATCGATGTTTCTAGCTCTCTATCCCTCTCTCTTCCTCTCTGTGAAAAATCAATAAAATATTTTTTAAAAATAATAAAATAAAATAAGCCTTCATCTCCAGTAGTGTGTTTCTCATCTTGTTCATTTTAGTAGTGTCCTGCCTATTATTAACACTTGGCTATTCTATGTAGATTTTAGAATCAACTTTCTTCATGTAAAAGATAAAATTGTAAAATATTTAGAAAATGAAACTTTAGGAGAATAACTTTGCCGCTATGGCTAGGTGAAGATTTCTTAAGAACAAAATCCCAAATAATAAAATCTCTTTGAACTTTTTATTAAAATTATATCAAATTTATAGACAAATTTAAATAGAAGAATTCTTTTTATTTTTAAAAGGATGATTTTTCTTTAAAAATATATATTTTTTTTTATTGACCTCTGAGAGGAAGGGAGAGGGAGAGAGAGAAAGAGAGAGAGAGAGAGAAACACCAATGAAAAGAGATAAGAGAACTATTGTTTGGCTGCCTCCTGCATGCCTCCTCCACCCCTTCGGAGTCAAACCCACAACCCAGGCATGTGCCCTGACCAGGAACTGAATCGTGACCTCTTGGTTCATAGGTCAACAATCAATCATGGAGCCACCGAGGATGGGAAAGAATTATTTTTATTTTACTAAGTTTTTCTATCCTTAAACACAGTAAGTATCTCTTAAGTTTCTTTAGGTGTTTCTTTAATGTCTTGCAATACAGATTTACAATCTTTTCCACAGAGATCAAACATAGCTAATGTTAGATTTTATTTCTAAAGAACTAAAGAGTTTTTAATCATATTTCTTATATACTGAAGTATAATTAATCTTAGATATTACTAAGCTTGAGGTTTTTTATGTAAAAATTATATATCTGCGAATAAAGTGTTTTGGCCTCTTGGCTACTTTTCTAGCCTTGTCTCTCATTTTATTTTTCCCTCTCAGTGCAATTTTGAATAGAAACAGTGATAATGAATATTCTTATTTTTCCTGATTTCCAACAAATACTTCATCTAATATTTCATTTAGCTTGTTATTTGCTATAGATTTTTCATAACCAACTTTTATCTTAAGAAAATTCTCTCTTACTCTTGGTTTGCTAAATGTTCCTCTCTCCCCTATGGTTGACTTAAATTTTAAGTTGAGGCATCTTTTTCCTTCAATATCTTAATTGAAGAATGGCTCTAATATGTCTTCTAATTTAAAAACAACTTGATATTTCTTAGCAAAACCCAAATTAGTCCTAATGTTATATTTTTATATAATGCATTTTTTATAATGCAGGATTTGACAACACTCTGTCAAAGAGATTTCCTTCAGGTGTATTTTGTTGGCCTCATACTGCCAATCTTAGGTTGAAGTTTAAGATTATGCTAACTTCATAAAATGAGTTGGTGAGAGATGATTCCCCAGGAAAGATATGTAAACTATGAATGATCTAATTATTTAATGTTTAACAGTAAATCTGTTGGGATGAAATTTCTCTTCGTGTCAGAAACCCCAAGGTCATGCAATTTGTTCTTACTTTCAAAGTCTTGATTCATCTGAGTCCAGACTCATATAGATGGTCATTAATAATCACAGGAATTTTATTAATAATATTTGGTGAGGAAAGCTTTTAATGAAAGAATCAATAAATTATAATACAAATATTACCATACTATCATTAATTATTCTGATAAAATGCCAAAACAAGTCTGATTTTGCTTTTATGATGTATTATGTTCAAGATAGTCAGGAATTTTGCTTCCCAATGGTAATGCTTTTAGCTCTTTTCCTTCTAAAACCAAAGTTTATTCCTCTCTCTCCACTGATAAATTTTAATAATAAAAAATTTCTTACCCAAGTCATCCGGGCTCTATCTTTTGTGTTGTACCGACATTCGGTAATTAGATTATCTCCCTAAAACATAAAAATATGATCTTTCAGGTTGCAGTTTTAGGCTGTTTCATTTATCTAATACATTTTAGGCCAACAGTTGAATTTGCTGTATGAAGGGATGCATTAAGTAATTTAATTCAAAAAAAGACCCTTGATTTTTAAATTCTAGACTAATAAGCAAGCAAACAAGCAAGGTGCTCTGGGTTCAAGCCGGGCTCCCCATGTTCTAGCTGCATCTTAGGTCAGGAAATGAGTCACTGGGTATAATATGCTTATCTAAAAAATAATAATAAAAATAGCACTTGTTTTTTCACAGCTGTTGCAAGGGGATTAAATGACAAAATACACATTTAATTCTTAGTAGAGATTAAACACTTCATAAATGTTACGGTAGCTATAGCTACTAGTTATGGTGATTACCTCTTCATTTACATTATTTTCTTTAAAAGTCTTTAGTCAGGTACTTCCTTACAACAGAATTATGAGGCAAATTAATAGTAATTTACTTTTCCAGTGTTTTTCAATCTTTTAGATAATTCAGCACACATGGAAAAAAATAATATTTTAGGCCCCCACTCAGGTAAATGAACAGGCTATTTATGAACCAAACACAGCTAGCTCTGTGCTGGCCTGGTCTGCTCTCCTTACCCTGCTCCTCAGAAGGACCAGGGATCAGTATCCCAACACACTAATACCCTACTCCCTTTGGGAAGCTCTGAGATAACACAGTAAAACTGGTTGGAAAGCCTGAGACAAAACAATACAATAAGAGTGTGTAGGATCCTGATAGTATCAGTGTTTCTCACGCTGCATTTTTCTGTCTTCAGGGTGTAGCAAGGAATCTTTGCCTGCAGAAATCTTTCATTTCAAAAATAGTATATAAGAACTGTACTTTCGCCAAAACCGGTTTGGCTCAGTGGTAGAGCGTCGGTCTGCGGACTGAAAGGTCCTGGGTTCGATTCTGGTCAGGGGCATGTACATTGGTTGCGGGCACATCCCCGGTTGGGGGTGTGCAAGAGGCAGCTGGTCGATGTTTCTCTCTCATCGACGTTTCTAGCTCTCTATCTCTCTCTCTTCCTCTCTGTAAAAAATCAATAAAATATATTTAAAAAAAAAACTGTACTTTCAAGAATGAAATAAGGGCAGAAAATTCTATGACGACCTTGATGGTCACGGGTTAAAAATTTTTTTTTTTTTAAATGAAGGATTGCAAAAAAAAATTTTTTTAAGCCTTCATTATTGTAGGGCATAAAATTTTCTTCTGTATCCTCTTGCCATGACCCCAAATATTATTGTAAACAGATTACACAGCACAGCATAATTAGCAGTGTCCAAACACCTTTGCCAAATGAAAGAATTATCCTTATGATGATGTTTACTAAAATGAAAATTCTAAAAAAAATATATATCCTATGGGGTACGGAAACCCCTGGTTTTCTTTTTACCATAATTGCAGCCAAAAGATTCAACTGGGGAGTCAAATAAGAAAAGAGCAATGCTCAGAACCTGATTTTTATATTCTTTTTTTAAATCAACTGGAGGTGCCCCTGGGAATAGTAAGAAAAATGAGTTTTGATTTTGGAAAACAGATCAAACACATTCCATGTGGGTTGTGCAACTCCCGTGGTGGGAGGCTTTAGGACTAAGGATACCATGCAGAATTCATTTCACCACTAGAAACCTTGCTAATTCTCAGCAGATATGTGTCTCATGATTTTTATAACATCCAGTGCAAAAGAAAAAGCATTCATACTGGTAAGATGGTTCGTTCTTCCTTTAGGTACTGAAACTCCTGGAAATTGAAGTCAAAATTGTCATCATAGGCAAGTAATTTCATTTCTTCCCCTTTGCGGAAGTGACGGAGCCTGATGCCTCTGCCAGCCAGGTGAGCGTGGAGCAGAACAGCAAACACGTGGATACCGCTGGGCTTCTCAGCTTCCAGAGCCTGTGGGGTGGGGAGTGAGGAGTGGGGAGAGTGGAAGACTTGATTAGCCCAAACAGTGTGTATCCAGACAGTTCTCATTCAATGAGACTTGGAGGGACAACTGAGAAGAAAAGCTAAAACAATGTAAGTGAATGCTTGAGCCACCAAACATGTTGAATTTGGATTTTTCATGACATTTCTATCAGTATTGTCATTATGAAGCAATATTTGCTGGAAGAAAAGTAAAGCTGCCTGGCTGGCATAGCTCAGTGGTTGAGTGTTGACCTATGAACTAGGAGGTCACAGTTCGATTCCCAGTCAGGGCACATGTCCAGGTTATGGGCTCAATTCCCAGTATGGGGCATGCAAGAGGCAGCCCATCAGTGATTCTCTCTCATCATTGATGTTTCTATTTCTCTTTCCCTCTCTAAAATCAATAAAAATATCCTATATAATAAAAGGCTACTATGCAAATCGACCAAATGGTGGAACGACCAATCTCTATGATGACCACTGACCACCAGGCAGCAGATGTTCAACACAGGAGCTGCCCCCTGGTGGTCAGTGAGCTTCCACAGAGGAAGTGTTGTTCAGCCAGAAGCCAGGCTCATGGATGGTGGGAACCTCTCCCACCTCCATGGCAGAGGTAAGGACCCCTCCATAGGGTTCCGGGATTGCAAGAGGGTGCCTGTCTGGCTGAGGGACCAAATCGCCCTCGCCCTCACCCCCCCCCCACCCCCGCCCCGCAGTGCATGAATGTTATGCACTGGGCCTCTAGTATTTAATAACAAAAAGAACTAATGCTGAATGATAATTTACTGGATGACTCCTAAATGTTATCTTTCTTTTTCCTCCTTTTAGGAAGTAAAGAGGAAGTCAAGGCTCCTGGTAAAAATATACCAGTATATTAGTAACCTGCAAATTCAAACTCTTAAAAGGAGAAACTATTCCACACTAACAGATAAGAAAACCAAGCGGGACAGGGGCATTACATGACTTGCCTATAGTCCTACAGCTAGTAAGTAATGCCATGGCTATCTGAATTCTGGTAAAAATAACTCAGAAGAGCATAATTCCACTTCACCAGCCTGCCACATTCCCTACAACCATGCCAGTTTTTAATTCATAAAGAATACGATCCATCTTGAAACACTTTCATTTAAAAGAACTATAGATGGAAGCAACCATTGTTAAATATTTACACTTTAAAGGCCCAGTGCATAAATTTGTCCACAGGTAGGGTCCCTAGCGGCTGCCAGTGCCAGCCAGGGCCTCACTTCATTCCGTGCTGTCCCCTGGTGGTCAGTGCACATAACAGCAAGCAATTGAACTGGTCAGTCCAACTCCCGAGGTGTGCTTTCCATATAAAGATGTACTTATCCTGTCCAATATGTATTTTATATTAGTTATTCTTGCTCTTTGGATAAAGAAGGAAAGAAAACTACGAAGCAAAGAAAAGGAGAAAAAAAATTGAAAATGGATAATAGAAAAAAAAAACAAATAGAGATAAAAGGTGAAGTTGACAAAGGAAACTACACAAATGAAGAAAAACTTTAAAGGATAAAGTGTCCAATATTAAATAAACAAAAGAGGTGGGGCTAGGAAGGAAAACATGCTGAAAGTCATTCTTGTCTTTAGAATTCTACTCCTGCAGCCTTAAAGATTTAAAAAAGCAATCAAACGTCTTGCTGGAATGGTAAGTAAATGGTTTTTACAGTGTGACAAAAAGAAAAACATCAATAATGAACAAGCATGGAATTTTCCAGTTTTCTAAGAGCACCGATTAATCTGTAAATAGCAGCACATCGATGGAGATGATGCATACCTCTTCCAGGCATTCCAGAGTGCAGTGACCCTCAGACTGGAACTCAGGCATGCCGGGCGGGATGGTGTGGAAGAGGCTTACCCAGAGGCCAGCCTCTATCACCCCGGCATCATATTTCCTTATGTCTGTTGTGTGAAAAAACCTCAGTCCAGAATTATCGATTAAGCCTAGAACAAGAGCAAATAAATAAAAGTGAGTTTTCGTCCTTAAAAATAAGTCCCTACATTCAGTTGAAGTGGTTCATTTTTTTCCCCTAAAAATCTCACAAGGAAAAGGAATATAAGCAAAGATTGATGGAAGACAACATTCAGCTTCATAAATGGAAGTTGAAAGTCAAGTTGCCATATTGCCTGCATACCACAGGAGAAATGTTTGTGTTATCTAGCTGACATATTCCACAAATATCTAACATGAAGACAGAATCCTATAATCATTCATTAAAATGTGGAAGAACTCAATAAAAGTCTCATATTGTTTTCAGGTACAGCTCAGTGATATTTACATAAAGGTGAAAATCTCTTGATCCAGAAGCCATCAGCTGATGGAGAAAACTGTTGATTGCTAACTTTCTTTATAGTGTGTTGTCATTTAACAGTTATTCAATCAATATTAATAAAGACTTTATTATGTAAAAAGCACTACGATAAGCATTGTGGAATGAAAGATGAATAACGCACATTCCTTGCTATGACATATTTATAAGGAGGGAAATTATGAGTCCCAAACTTCATAAATCTGTTCCACTAATTTTGAAATTAGTTGACTCCTTCCTGTAGTGGGAACTTACCTAACTATGAGTACTAAATTGACACTTTGGATCAAATTAGCATATATATATATTGATTATTTTATTATTTTTCTTTATACTATAATTTCCACAAATGAAAACAGTGTCTGGTTTTCACAAACATCATATCATTAAACACAGACTCAGCACATAGTCTGAATAATTGCTGAATCAATGTAAAATGAAAACTTTATTATATTTCAATTTTTGGTTTTGGAATATTACATAAATGAATTCAGAAATCAGATGTAAATAATTACTGCTCTTCATTTTGATATGCTATCGGACAGAATTTCTGTATAATTACTTTTTAAGTACACTTAGGTTTCCTATCAAATAACAAAGTACTATTTTCTAGTCTGATAAATGGTAGTTTTACATATGTATAGTTAGAAAATGTTTCATAAGCATCTTGTATTTGGAGCTAATTTACATGACAAAGTGGTTAAGGTCTATTCTTCTACTTCCTGGTATGTAGTATGAAAATTATTTTTTAAGATTAGTGACCACAAGGCCCATCTGCCTTGTTCATCACTAGTAATGACTACTGTCGTAGTTCAATTATTAATAGTACCCCCTTTTACTCTAAAAAGTATGCTAATTGGAATCACAAACATGTAAGTTAATTCTTCTTAACAAAGGATGCTATTTTATTTCAACTTAAGACAGAAGTTACAAAACTTTGTAAAAATCTTAGGTAGAATAAAAAAGTAAACTCACCTTCTACATATGTCGGATTATCAAAATGAACCTCCAGGAGCACATAACGAGGATCTAACGGAGTGCCGAGGGACAACCCAACATGAGGTGGATAGGAAAAAGCCTAAATTAGGAAAATTTTCATGAGACAGTGCCCTGAGAAAGTCCCTGACAGTTCTACTCTTCTCAAAAATCAACCATTCTCAAAGAGATTTCAACATACTGAAACTTCAGCAAGCTATAGCTGATTAAAAAAAAATAACTTAAGAAAAAAATTACTTTCCTTGGAAAGAAAAATAAGCCACCCTCATATCAAAAATAGTGAATAGAGCCCTGGCCAGTTTTGCTCAGGGGATAGAGCATCAGCCTGCAGACTGAAGGGTCCCGGGTTTTATTCTGCCCAAGGACACATGCACAGGGTGGAGGGCTTGATCCCCAGTAGGGAATGTACAGGAGACAGTCGATCAATGATTTTCTCTCATTATTAATGTTTCTATGTCTCTGCCCTTCTCCCTTCCTCTCTGAAATCAATAAAAATATATATTTTAAAAATAATAGTGTATAAAGCTTTACTTATAAGTACATATTGGAATCATAGGGGGGAAAATGATCACTTAAGTGTGTTACATCTCATTAATCATTAATCATTAACCCCACCTCTCCACCAATGGCCCAGGCAAAAATCACGGTTTCGCAGGTGTGGAAGGCATCGGGCATGTTAGGGTGGTAGCACTCATGGCCGTAGTCCAGCACACTGTCGTTCAAGTTGCTGTTGCACTGATAGAGCAGGATGTGATGGACCAGACTCTCATGGCCTCTCTGTATCACGGGCTCAACCTACACATGCACAAAGCAGAGGGAGGATGGGATGAATTAAATCCGTAATACTACCAACAGTAAAAAGTATATACCATTTGCAATAGCATGGATGGAACTGGAGAGCATTATGTTAAGTGAAATAAGCCAGTCAGAGAAAAATAAATATCACATGATCTCACTCATTTGTGGAATATAATGAACAACAGAAACTGATGAACAAAAACAGATCCAGAGACAGAGAAGCATCAACCAGACCATCAAACCTCAGAGGGAAGGTAGGGGAGGGTGGGGGTAATGGGGAGAGATCAACCAAAGGACTTGTATACATGCATATAAGCCTAACCAATGGACACAGACACTAAGAAGGTAAGGGCATGAGTGGGGTGGTGGGGGGCAATGGAGGGATAAGGACACATATGTAATACCTTAATCAATAAAGAAAAATAATAATTAAAAAATAATAAATAAAAAGTATATGGAAACTCTCTGTACTTTCTGTGTAATTTTCTGTAAACCTAAGCTCTAAGAAATAAAGCAAAAAAATAAATAAATAAACCTGCCTACCACACCACACAAGCATCAAACTAGCATAAATAATTATCAGTTTTCAAGAAATGGTTTTCTCAAGCATGTAAAGGTTATGTGGTTCAGGTATAATTTGTTGTGAAGATGATGATGACAATGATGATGATGATGACAACCATGGCAACAGCACAGAGGAGATAACCGTTTATCCAAGAATCATAGGACTTGATTCATCTGTTGTTCTTTAACTTACTTTTGTCTCCCTTGCTATTCTGCATAACAGATGTTTCAAAACTTGCTTTCCCTCTTCTATGTTATACTTTTTCCTGGCTCTTCTTCCCTCTTTTTTTTTAAGTAGAAAAAAAAAATCAAGGCTCTATAAGGCATAAACTCCCTCAGCCTTCCTCTCTTTCACCTCAAAAAGTTGTCTTCACTAATCCTTACTGGAGGTGATAGATGATATCTCATTCATCTATTTATCTATCTATCTGTCTGAGCATCGAGCTGGACACAAAGTAAAGCTCAATAATAGATATTTTTTATTTTAGGACTTAGAAACAAATTTTATTTTCTCTAATAGTAAATTTAGAATTTGGGAGAAAGGAAAAAGAAAACATTGTAGTGATGTGCTCCTCTGACACCTTTCAAAATAGAAGAGGGGAGGTAGGAACCAGTGAAAATAGAATAAGCAGTGAAGGTAGTCCATGAGAGCAGTCTCCTTCCCTCCTCCATTCTTTGAGTTACCTTCATAACACTCTTCCACTGCAGTCCAGCAGCTCAGAGAGAGCTAAACATATCCTCACATCACAAAGAGTCTTATATTCAGAGCAATTGCGTGTCCCCGTAACTTAGCCTAGCTTGGTCATTGGTGTTGCCATTGGTCACATGGTTCTTTAAACCTTCTGTTTATCTGACACAGAAATCCTGGTGTGCTCCTAAATTTCCAAAAGGTTAGCTGTGTTAGGCTCATCCTCATTTATGCTTTTTAGCCTCCACTACTCAAATGCAGGTAATGCATTTTGAAACTCTTGCTTGTTCTCTGCTTCAGATATGCATGCAAAGATGAAGTGTTTTCAGCTATTTTAAGCTATTGAGGTTTTTCATTTTTATTTTCTACAAAATTTTACCATTTTTAAAAAATAGTAAAATCTAAGCAGCAGAAGAGGGAAATGGCACATAGTAGGTAAAGATCTGAATAGGCAGTCAGATTTTTAAATCCAACTTTATTTTGTGTTGCAAGTGAGTCATGCCTTACTTACCATATGCACATTTTTAACATCACATATACAGAAATGACACTGTGCATGGCTTTGTCTGCACTTGTCTTTAAAACACTGTGTGCCCTGAAGGCAGAAACATTTTTTTTTTTTTGCTTGGAAATAACAGTTATGATTCAAGCATGGTTGCATAATATACAATGATTACACAAAAGGGTAACCCAGAATGTCTATTAGATTTTGGTTTCCACATGTAGTTTAAGCTTTCTTGTGAGACTTGGTTTATTTGGGAATCTCAGTACTCAAAGGGGGACAGGGCACTGCTAATAGTACACAGTAAAGTATTTAGGCACGTGCAAGCTTTTTGCTAAGTCTCTCATAACTTCAGGAAGAACTGGTAGGTTATACTGAGCTCTACAAAGTAAGTCTTAGAAAGGAGTTGTTAGGACAAAATAGCTGGCTGTTGCCAAGGTACCCACAGAAACTAGTAACCTTCATTGAAGCATAGCAAAGAGCTAAGAGTGTGCATGCAGAAATGTGAGGATGGGTGTTGCCTGGCATTAACGTGCTTAAAACATGGGCGAGGAACCTGAATAGGCACTTCTCTAAAGAGGACTTACAGATGGCCAATAGGCATATGAAAAGATGCTCAATGTCACTAATCATCAGAGAAATGCAAACTTAAAGCACAATGAGATACTACCTCATACCTGTCAGAGTGGCTACCATCAATAAATCAACCAACAACAAGTACTGGCGAGAATGTGGAGAAAAGGGAACCCTTGTGCACTGTTGGTGGGAATGCAGATTGGTGTAGCCACTGTGGAAAGCAGTATAAAGTTAACCCCAAAAATAAAAAATGGAACCACCGTATGACCCAACAATTCCACTACTGGAAATTTATCCTTAAGAAACTCAAAACACTAATTCAAATTAATGTATGCATTCCTATGTTTATTGTAGTATTATCTACAATCACCAAGATTTGGAAGCACCCATCAGCAGATGAGTGGATAAAAAAGCTATGGTATATTTGCATAGTGAAATACTACTTGGGGAGGCGGAGCTTGAAGATGGCGACCGAACAGTCGGACCTATTCTGACTCTGGTCCCAGAACGGATAAAGGGGGCTTCTGAGTCGCTCAGGGAGAGTTGATTGGCAGCTAAGGGACAGCGGAGCTCTCAAGGAGGGTAAGGGAGAGTCCGCTGGACAGGATTTCCTGACCAAGCGGTCAGGACGGCCGCGGCCGCAGCGGCGGAGGCAGCGAGCGGTGGGCTGCGGGCGTGGAGGAAGGGCTGCATTGTCTTGCCAGGAAGGAAAGAGCTTCTCTGAGGCGTGGAAAACGCACAGCCCGGAGGTCCATCGAGCAGCTGAGACTCCCAGAGCTGCGCAGACACGTGGATTCCGGGGAGATCTTCAGTCACCCACGGAAAGGTCAGAGTTTGCGGGGATAGCCTAAGGGATCTGGGTTCCGCGGCAGCGAGCTCCGGCCCCGCCTCCACTACGGCAGCCGGGGAGCTCCGGCCCGCCTCTGCTACGGTAGCCGGTAGCCGGGGAGCTCCAGCCCTGCCTCCACTGTAGACGGGTGCGCGAACTACAGCCCGCGGAGGCGGAGCGGAGCCCAGAGAAGGCTACAGCGACACCTAGTGCTGGGTTTGAAGTAATCCCCCCCAGAAGAGGGGCTTTTTTAAAACGCCAGGGGACAGGGACAGTGTGTTAAGAATAGCGGCTGTCCCGCCAAGGGCGGAACATCTGGACACCTTGGCACCGGTTCCCATTCATCCCCTTGCTTCTGAATACTAGAGAAGAACTGCCCAGTGGGGCATAGCCGGGGAAATTGTAGGGGGAATTTGCCTTCTGGAAACAAGGGATTGGAGCCAGAAGACATAGTCCTGGAGCCAGCTAGAGCCATAGAGAAAGAAGGCCAGAGCAACCAAAAAGACTGGGAGGTCAAACCGGAAACATTGTCACCTAAGAGCCGAATTACAAACTGCCTTTTTTTTTTTTTCTTTTTCTTTTTTTTCTTTTCTTTTTTTTTTTTTTTTCTCTTTTTTCTTTTTATTAATCAAAAATAAACGGACACAAATAACTAAGATATAACCTGCTTAAAATTAAGGTTTACCTTACAAAACTCAGGTGCAGTGGAATGCTGGGGCCTGCAAGACTGTCTGGTCTGAGAATCAGGAGTGCCAAATACATTAACAGAGGAAGTGAATGACCACTACTGGACATTTTTATGCTAATTTTACTATTCTTTATTTTATTTTCATTTTTTACATCTTTTATTTAATTTTCACTTTTTATAGCATTTACTTAAGAAAAATTTTTTCTATTTTTTTCCTTACTTCATTTTACCTTTTCAATTATTACATTTTTCAATCTTTATCATCACTATTACTATTGCTATTTTGCAATTTTTGTTTCTTTCCTTTTTTTTTTTTTTTTTTTGTTCTTTGTTTTTTCTTGTTTGTTTGTTTGTTTGTTTGTCTGTTTGTTTCCTCTCCAGTACCATTTTATTTTATTTTTTTTCTGTATTTTACATTGGGAATAACCTCCATTCTATTTTAATCACTACTTTAGCATCATTCAAACCTATCTCAACTTGACCTTTACACCATCACTCTCTTACTAAACTTTACCCTTTTAGTCAACGGTTTATCCTATCCCTTTCCGGCTCTAGATTTTCCTCTATTCTTTCTGTATACCCCTTGCTAAAGCTCTCACTATACGTATAGACCTAAGTTCCAACCCCTGATCCAAGTGTATAAATACCAATTTCTGTACTATATTAACTAGTTAAAAAAAAAACAAAAACTGTTCTCCCCTCTATCCTTTGCGCATTGTTTGTGTGAGGGTTGATTATTGTGAATTTTTATGCTTTTTAGTGAAATGGTTATGCTTATTCCTGTGTTGTTATTGTTGCATTGTATTTTTTTTTAAAATCCTCTGTTTTTGTTTGTTTCTATTACTTCTGTATATCATAGACTTACTTAATAATAGTGGATATTGTAGTTTGTATTAATCTCCAAGTATTGTTACTGGCATTGGCTGGGTTCAGTAGTTGTTCTATGGCAATTTTCTCCACATATATATAGTTTGTTTCCCATTTCTCTTTTAGTTTGCTTCTTCTCTCCCTTTCTTTCTCTCTCTCTCTCTCTCTCTCTCTCTCTCTCTCTCTCTCTCCTTTCTTTTTTTCCCTGTTTTCCAACTTTATTTTGTCATTACTTTTTTTCTTCTCTTTATATCTCTTTATCCTTCTTTTTTTATTTTATTTT